TAGGATTCAATTTAGTTATACCATGTCAATTGTAAATGAATCGAAAGCATGGCAGTATTTTTGTTAAGAAAAATCTGGCGAATCTGCAAAAAGTGCAATGTAAAGATAATGTGCAAAGGATTTTCGAGAAGTGGGCTCTTACGTCATTTAAAAAATGCACATAAAGATTTGAATTTAAATATGAAGCATCTACATGAAAACACTAGTTCGGAAATTAAAATTATGCAAAAGAAAATCACATTGTTTGTTAAACAGCAGACTATTGAGAAAATTGTGTCAAAACTAGCAACAGTGGGTGGCTTCTCAATAAATGCTATAACGAAAAGTGAATTCATTAGAAAATGATAGTCTGAAAAAGGCATGTTATTACCAAAAAATCCATCCCATGTTATGGCTAAACAAACTGTGGTTTTAGAGATAACAAAAGAAATATCTAGCTGGTCGCGATTTTCTTTATCGTTAGACAAATATACGTCTTTAAAAAATCAACATTATTTAAATGTAAATTTACACTTATCGACAACGTTTTGGAACCTGGAAATGACTCAGAAATGACTGGATCACTTCCTGTAGAAAAAATTGTTGATCTAGTTGAAAAAAAACAGTCAGATTTCAATTAAAAAGCACATTATAGCTAGTGTCACTGACGGACCATCTGTAATGAAAAAATTTGGGCGGCTAAGTGGAATTGAACATCAATTGTATTACGCCCACCAACTTCATTTGGCAGTATGTGATGTTCTTTACAAAAAGTCAGACTTCAGAAAAATATATTGAATTTGAATCACAGTTTCAAAATTGAGTGATTACAACGAGTTTGATGATGTATTTGACTGTAATGATGAGTCATACAGCTCAACAGGTGTTACGTTTATTGATGATTTACAAAATAGCATAAATGTCAAAACGAGGTGGAATAGTCTTGTTGCAATGCTAGAAAGATCCCTTAAAGTAAAAACATGTATACTAAAAGCAATGATAGATTTAAAAGTTGTGAATATCTCCGAAGATGAATATGCGATTATGAATGACATAACAATTTCTCTGCTACTGATAAAAGTTGGAATAGAAAGACTTGGTAGAAGTAATGCTATTCTACTTGGCGCAGAAGGTGTAATGATAACTGAAAAGCATAGCAAAAGTTTAGAATGAATATATTTAACATTAATGACCATCAAGCCAACATCAATTGAATCAGAAACCGCTTGTTATTTTATTAAAAATTATGCCTGGAAATCCCGGGATAAATAAGTTACACACCAGGAATCCCAGGATACTAAATTTACAGGAAATGAGAAACCCTTATAGACACGTTTTGTTTTTGTTTTTCAGTTGTTGAAAATTGTTCAAATATATTTCAATTTACTCTGTTACTCTAGAAGGTGCTGCTGTGGAGGCAAAAAAAAAAAAAAAAAAAAAAAAAACGTAGCTAGCAAAAATATTAAAACTTTACTTTAATAATTAAAAGTCTTCTTTGTGCCAGATTGAAAAAATTTTAAATGTATTGTGTGAAGGGGCAGATTTGAATGTCACAAAGCAACACCGATGACAACCTAATAAACCCCTAAACTATCAAGGTTATGCACCTTAGAGTAAAACAAACTATTTCATAAATTTCTTAATAGCTCTATGTATGCCGAAAAGGTGCGTATTTTAATTTTTTTGTTCTTTAAGCAGTTTTTTAAATGATTGTTTTTCTACTGTTGACTAATAAATAAAGTAAATAAGAAATAAGTATAGAAATGATTGACATGAAACAGACAAATAAAGAAATGGTCGGTTTGGTAAAGACCCATTTTTTACTGGTTTATATATATATATTTAGCTAGGATATATATATATATATATATATATATATATATATATATATATATATATATATATATATATATATATATATATATATATATATATATATATATATATATATTTACTAAAGCGTGTTTTGATAAGCATTTGCTCACTTTTTCTGCTTACCTTAAGCTATACCGTTTTTTTCCAAAAAGAGGAAAAAAACCAAGAATGATGAATAAAACGATTGCTTCGCCATCCCAAACCCTCATTCGATGTAGCAGCACTCCACTGCGAGTCAGGCTATTTGTCAGTCGATGTATGTACTGAAGCCCCCAGCAGCAGGCTATTTCAGTATGACGTCAGATTGCTTACCTTAGTACGCAATACTATTTGTATATATATATATATATATATATATATATATATATATATATATATATATATATATATATATATATATATATATATAAGGGTATTATATAGAAAAGGTCGCTGTGGAATAGACTTACAAAGACCCATATTTTTACAAGTCCAGTTGCTAGTTTGTATTTAATATAATAACTAAAATAACAAAAACAGTAACAAAATAAAATTAAAGACATTCTGAATTAAAAAAACAGACTACAATCTAGTCTACTAAATTGCATTTTTGTAGTTTTTTAAAAAACAATAAAATTTAATTAGTCTCCTTAATTATTTCAATGTTTTTTATATAATATACACTTGATTTTGTTAATTTTAATCGCAAAGAGTTGTTAAAAGCTGCTTTTTACCATAAACTTTATACGATAATGTTATTTATAAGTGTATATACATACATACATATTTATATGTATGTATGTTTGTATATATACCATATATTTATATTTCTATAATTTGACATCTTAAACTACATTTTGTAGTAAAAAATAACTCTTAACAACTCTTTGATACATAACAAGTACATGTCAAAAGCATTAAATTTAATTGAGAAAAATTAAACTTGATAGAAAAAAATAATAAAATACTAGGATGTTTTTATCTTTATTTCAAAAAATATTTATCTTTATTTAAAAAAATAAAAACATTCGGAATGTTTTTATTTTTATTTTTTTACTATTTACATACATCTGACTGACAAGTAGGTAGAACATGCAAGAAGTATTATTACATGTTTTATAATGTTTTTATAATATTAAGTGACTTTTTAAAATAAAGCATTAACTTACTTTTAACGAATTTAATAAGGGAACAAATATTATTTAATTTAACAAAGAGTTATAATTAAGGAATTATTAAATTTCTGTTATTAATATATTTACGTTTTTCTCAACAAGTGTCTGAAAAAATTTGGTTAGGTTAATTTGGTTAGGTTAATTTAAACATTTCATTAAAAATGCAATTGTTGTTTTAAGTCTTGTTTATAAAATCAATCATACATTGCTTTAAAAGGTTTAGAACAATTAATAAAAGTTAGGTTTTGCTTTGTTTACTCTGTTTTACTTATATGAATATGTAAGAAAAAATTAAAATTAATAATTTTATTATTTAAAATATTTGTATTTTTCAAAGCAACTTATGACCAGTTAAATTTTACATCATGCACCACACTTACTTGCTCTTTGTGAGACTAATTTGAATTCCACTGTTTCATCTTCAGATCTCAGTGTTGATGGCTATATATTCCTTTGAATCACAAAGATTCTAATAGTCACATGCTTGGCCTGGGCATATACTTGTACAACGATTCACCTATTTGCCTTGGATTCATGTTTGAATCCTCTGAATATTTTTTTTCTTAATGTTATTCACCTCTCAAAGGCCAAGAGAGCCACTGCAGTTGAGGAGGCTACTTTATTGTTGTAACAACCCTCTTTCAACTCTTTTACTCTGAAAAACAAACTTGTTCTTCTTTAGGTGGTTCTGACCTATGATATGTCTAAATCTTTTATTTTGTACTTCTTAAGACTCATTATATCATTGCAACTTTTACTAATATCAAGCTAACTGGGATTTTTTTTTGTGATTTTCTTAGTGACAGTCCTTGGGCTGATGTCTTCTGCCTCTCTACTGATAATTGTGACACCTGCCTGACTTCTAGCACTTAAGCAGTTATGAAAGCTGTTATTCCTTTTCATAGGTTTTGTCAAGCCTGCTATTTCTAATGGTAATTTATCTTTTTTCTTCAACTTTTTTCACAAGAAGTATAAGTATGGTTAACACAATATATAGAGTACACAGCTTGGGTCTGGAATCTTTATAAAAAAATGGTTTGAAAAAACAAAAAGTACAACAAAGAGCTATTAGGCCAGGTGAATAAAAAAAAGCAATTGCTTTTACTTAGTAATTGGTCAGCTTTACGTGAATATAAATTTTAGCAATTTTGTTTAAGTTTTTATTCACATAAAGCTGACCAATTACTGAGTAAAAACAATGCTTTTGCTTTTTTTTATTTACCCGGCCTATTATGTCGGTAAAGGAAACAAAAGTCAAGTCATAAAAAATACATTGATGAATTTATTTTAATGTTATTATAGTACAAAAGAAAAAGAAACAATATGATTATGATGCAGAAAGTCTTAAATTATATAACTAAACTAAAGTGACATTCAATTGAATTTCTAATTAGAACGAGAGAAATATTATTATTCATACCAAAAAAATTAACAAAACAACAATAAAGTCAGTAGTGTTAAAACATTTTTTTACCAACCAAAGTTACAAATGTTTGAAATGATCTAGGACATGAATCTATTGATTTAAAATCGATTGATTAAAGAAAGAATAGAATCAAAGTAACTATGGAAAAAAAATAAAGCAGAACAACAAAGATGGACTTGAAACTCCTTAAAACATGAAGTAAATCAAAAAGTAAATTACATGCCAACCCAAATATATTTAAAAAAAAATTGTTTATGCAACTCTTGGAACTCTCTATTCTATTTTTTGAAAATAATTTATTAAGGCATCAAATATAGTTACATACACTTTATGAATAAATGGAGTAAAATAACTTACATTTATCTTTACCATTTTGTTTAATTACTCTATTTTTATTAAAAATACAGACAAAACTATTTATCCATAATGCCATTTGATTTTTTGTTTGTTTTGTGAATAATTATTAATATATTATTCTATAATCAAATTTATTAGTTTAATCTTTTTTTGCTCTATTAATTAGTGTTTACTGTACACATTTTACTAGTCTTAAAAAAAAAACATACCCTTTCCACAACATATCATCGTCGCCTAAATCTTTCCAAACACAAGAAGCCAAGCAAAGATCAGTGGCATTAAGATTTGATAAGATAGAAATAGCAATTTCAGGAGGCATTTCTTTTAAATCTTGAAATTGTTGTTGAACATTGCAGTTCAGATTTCTCTTAGAAGACGAAAAGCTATTTACTTGTCCCATGTTTTTCGGCTACTGTGGAATATATATTAAACATGTCACTAAGAATTATTAGTCCAGATTACTAACTTTATTAAATAACATCTCGCTTTATCTTAAGGAATTTTCACTGGTTCATATTTAACTCAATCAAAGTTTTTTTTACACATAATAGTTTCTTTTACACGTAATAGCTGACACAAACAAACTCTTAATTCGCGCACCTTGGTTTTCAGCACACTCCGTGTCATAGGGGAGACTCCGTGAGAACACTCTGCGCAGCGACCCAATAATTAAAATAAGTCGCTCTGCGGTATACTGTATAGCTTTTAATTAATTATTTAGATTCGTCGAGGCAACACTGATTTCACGCAAAGCTTGAACCTTTAATCTAGAGCATAAAATCAGGCAGTGGCGTAGGAAAATTTTAAATGTTTGAAATAACCAACTTATAAACAACAAGAATATTCCAAATTTTTACGTTGATATGTATGATGAAAAGGTTCTTTTTAAAAAAAAAATACTGTGATAGGAGAATGGGAACAAGAAACTCTAAAATCTTAACCCTCCCCTGCCCCAAACGTGAGAGAAACAAGTTGATAAAATGTTTTTTGTACCAGTATCTTATGGATAACACATTTTTTTTTTTTTTTTTCCATATATTTTTTACAACTACATAGCTTTAACAATCAAAATGCTTTGAAAATAACTGAAATAATACTAAGATATATTTGATGTACAAAGTAATAAAATGATGTAAAATAGTTTTTCGGTTTATATTTTGAAAAGACAAAAAAAGTCTTAAAAAAGGAAAAATTAAACCTTTAGTTATGTAGTCAAGGGAAACTCGCAGAAAACTGTGTAAAGTCTTGTCATCGAGAACTCTTTTTTTAAACAATTTCATGAGATACTCATAAATATTTTATTCATTACTTATTACATTTTTAAATATAATTAGTCGTGTTTTTAGGAAGGAGCATAACATAAACTAGTATGTATACATTCATCTGTTTTAGTAATGGGTTTGCGTGAGTAAGTTTGTTTTTATAAAAAATAATTCTTGAGGCGAGTTTCTGTCGTCTATAGAGTGAACTTAATTTAGTTTTATGGGTACTTGCCCATGCTATATTGGCATATGATAGATAGCTGTCTATAAAGGAAAAATAAAGAAGTTTTAAATTTTCGAGCGATAAATAATTTCTTGCTTTATAGAGTAGACCAATGTTTTTTGAGACTTTTGTATTAATGGTATTTATGTGAGAGTTCCAAGATAATTTCTCGTCAAGAAGCACACCAAGAAATTTAAATGATTGAGTTCGTTCAATAACTGTGTTGTCTATACAAAGAGTTGGTAAAATTGATGGGATAGCCTTTTTTTTTGGTTGGGGTAAAATAAGATGTATTTAGTTTTGTTTAAGTTTATGACAATTTGTTAGCTAACACCATGTGTTAAGTTTAATAAGTTCTAAGTTTGCGGTTATAAAGAGGTCACATCCAAGTGGCTTGCGAAACTACAGGAAAAGAAAATTTTAAATCATTGGGTTATAAACTTAATATGATCATAACTTTCAAAAAAAAAAAGATTATTTGATGAAAGTTGAAACCTGTCAACAAATTCAAGTTTAGTATAAGATAGCAGCAAAAATCTTTTTTTGGACTCATTGCCCTCATATTTAGGTGGGAGAGGAGATTACTTTTTGGGGTATTTTTGATCTCGGGCTTCAATTACAGCAATTTTCTTGCAAACCGTTATACTTTGGTTTAAGCATGAACATAGCAAGTTTGTGGCCGTGGAAAATCATCCAGTATTTAAACAATGTCTAAAAGTATCAGATATAAAAAATCCAATTGGTGCGCCTATAAGCAAGCTAAACACAAAAATAAAAATTATTATGTTAAGTCTCTATTTTACTCAAATAAGGCCTAATATCCACATAAATACAACAATTATATTTTTGGCCACCTATTTCAATGGAATGTTTCCACTGTGCAGTGGCGGATTAAGACTTGCAACTTTATAATATAAAGTTTGCAACCCCCTCAAATTGAGGGGGTTTAAACTTTATATGGTCATAATTTTTGAACACTAAAATATTTTACTATGAAATTTAAAGTTTCTCGATGAATATAAGCCTAGTTGAAAATAGTACAAAAAATATTTTATCAACTTGTTGTTCTCACGTTTGAGGCAGGAGGGGGGGGGGCTAAGATTTTAGAGTTTCTTGTCTTAGAGAATCTTTTCATCATATATATGAACGTAAAAAAATTTGGAATATTCTTGTTGTTTTAAATCTTGAAATTGTTGTGAATCGTATAATAAAGGCTTTGTCGGAAAAAAATGTTTAAAGATGATCAGTGTAAATAGAGTAGATAAAATGTAGTTTAGAACAGTCAAAAAAATATTGTATCAACTTGTTGTTCTCACGTTTGCGGCAAGTATTTGCTAAAATTTTAAGGCTTTTTTGTTCCCAGGCTTCAATCATCGCAATTTTTTGTAAAAGCATCCTTAACATTTTTAACATAAGTATAAACATATAAATTTTCTAATTTTGCTCTATGTCTGGAAGTTATCTATCTCAAACATAAAAATAAAATCATAATATAACTTAAAATAAACTTTAAAATATTCCTTGAGAAAAGCAATTTTTCAAAATATAATTTGAAACGTGGTCAGCTACCCAGCCAATATTTTAGTGGATTTGCAGTCTACATCCCATTGCAATCTACATCTCAATGAAAAAAAAGCTTGTCCCACAAAGGTTCCATGTAAGTTTTCGTATATCCAACACAGAACCAATATAGAACCTATGTGGGAAAAGCGTTTTCACTGGGATTGGCGTTTTGAACGGTACATTCTAGTTTTGCTTATCGGTTATTTAGTGGACCATTAGAGGTATCCGCTATAAGCGGCCAGCCGATAACTTCTTAACATGTAAAATAGTGACTTGTTATTTGTTATTGGTCATTTTTGATGGCTGCTACTAATAGTAGTCGATGAGCAAAACTACAGTGGACCCCTCAAAATGCCTATTTCCACTAAATTCCGCTAAAGAATTTTTGTTGGGTGATCACAAACTTAGCAAAGCACGCATTTTGAATTAAATAAATATGAAATAGTTAGTTTATAGATAAAATTTTAAAAAAGCAATGGACGTGTTGTAACTTATGATAAAATTGTTTGCGGTATAAATTACAAAGCGACCTACGCGCAACTGATTACAACCGAAAATTTTTTCTCCTAAAAATCATTAACAAATTTAATAAATAGTTTAATAAATGATGTTACAAATAGTGAAAAACACCATTTGAAATATTATCAAATTAATCTTTGTAAAGGTTTCCGATAAAAAATAAAAATTTTGTGTAATCTAAATAAAAAAACACAAATTTTTTACTATGATCTATTCCGATTGGGTCTAGTTTAAGGACGAATCCAGGAATTTTTGATGTTTCATATGGCACTTTCAGGCATTTTAGCAACTCCACTTATGTCAAATAAGAATGTTTAAAAAAAATTGCTGTGATTGGAATCTGGGAACAAAAATACACTAAAAGACAAAGGTTTGCCTCAGATAAGTATAGACCTTAAAAAAATAACTAAACGGAAGCAGCAATTATATGTAAAATACCTTTAAAAAAACGCAAACATGTTTGAGAAAATTTAAAAAAATCGCTTCACCTAACTATTATAAACTACTCAAAAGATATCAAAAAGATTCCAAAAAAACATGGTAGTTATTAAATGAAGCTATTTGTAAACCGAAAATAGACATAACATATTTTTGTAAAACTGATAAAGCCAACCACAAAACAATCAACAATAAAAACGAAGCGTTTAATAACTTTTTTGTTAACGTAGGATATAAATTTTCATCTCAAATTCCTGATATAAATATATCCTTTGATATTTATTTAGGCCGTAATACAAGTGAATTAGTAATAAAAGGTTAACCTTGTTAAAATTTGAAAGGCCATTTAAAAACCTAAAACTAAACGAGGTACCCAGATTCGATGATGTCAGCCGCAAGATTGTAATTAGCTGCTAAAATGAAGTAAAAATTACTTTAACAAATATTTTTATACACTTCCTTATAGAAGATATCTTTCTGAAAAACTAAAATTTTCTGAAGTAAAAGTAAAAAAAGTAAATACCTAAATTAAGGTATATTAGTGAAATTTATAGCATTATAAATACTTAAAATTTAATTTCATAAACATTGGAATTTTTAATATGAAATTTTAAATTTAGTTTAAAATTACTTTTCATTGTTTAGATATTTTGCACTGGTTGATATTTAAAAATGCTTTGTAAAAATAGTGCCATTTATAATAGATTGTCAAACACTCAAGTTCTTCTTCAATTGACCATCTTTTAAACTTATCATGGAAAGTAACTAGGAAAATGTTACAAAAATGTTACAAAAGCAATTAACAGTGATGAAAGTCCACTATATACATGCAATCTATAATAGAACTCTACTCCAACATCAACTACAACAACAACAAAAAAGTTAAAAGTAAAATTTTGTTTATACATTTAAAATGTTTTTAAAAAAACGTTTATCAATAGTCGAAAAAAACCCATTAATAAGGCACTAGTAATGTTAAGGTATTCCTCTTATTATTAATGTCTTTTTATGCATATTTATCATATTTATTTTTTGGAAATATATTATTAGAACTTTAAAGGTCTTTCTAATGTTGTTGAGGTATTTCTAGCATTGTTTAAGTATTACTATGATTCTTAAAAAAAATCTTAGTTTGAAAAAAAGTCTGAAAACATAAGAAAAATATTTTTAGAGCAAACTATATTAAGATAAACTAAAAAACGACAAAAAATTATATGTGAGACATTAAAACACAATAAAATTATATTTAAGACATTAAAACAAAACTTAAAACTTTTTTTAATCATCAGAAACACGCAGCTCGCGCAATTAATTTTAAAAATTGTTTTACACACTCTACGCCACTTCTTAAAGATATGAAAGCTTTGAATGTTTATCAACTTAATATTTTTAATATTTTTTGCTTTATGTTCAAGTGTAAGGAAAATTTATCTCCACAGGTATTTCAATATCTTTATTTTTAAAAACCAACAAACAAATATAATTTACGAATTGACAACAATCTTAATGGTCCTTTTTGCAAAACTAAATACGACGAATTTTGTATGTCCTATCGTGGACCTCTTCTTTGTAACAAAATAGTTTTACCTAATTTTGACTTTTCAATCAAATT